AACTGTAGCGGCATGCACTCGACCCTTGGCAGACAGCCGGATTTCGCGACGGCGCGTTGATCCACGAAGGTTTCCGGTACAAATCTAACTACTGTTGGTCGACTTCACGACAGGTGCCTCCCCGATCGTCCGGCATACTTCCATGCTCTAATCAATGGCAGTTTTTCTGATAACGTGATTGAATTTCCAGTTTCTTTTTACGAACTAGTTCATAGAAATTATATGCATAACATCTATTATTGGTGAAGTTAAGTTTCAAGACATGCTGATGTTGCAGTATTTCAATGACTCGCCTGTGTAATTCAGATCTGATAGTTTCATTACTCGATTCGAGAAAAAAATTGCGTGCAAGTGTTTTTATGAAAATGGAAAACAATCCCTTGCTTTGTATGAACTATTGAAAACAATTTTAGACAACCCAGCCTCCCTTACCTGAACAATCACTTTCTCAAATTAGAAAAGAGTCTGGCAATCAGTGTACTCCGTGAAAACTGTTTTNTTTTGTTCTGGGACAACTAATCAGAACAAGGATAACCGAACTCAAGTGATTGGTCAGAAGCGACAACCAATCAGGGTGATTGACAACAATCCAATCAATCAATCATTTCAAAAATGCGATCCCAAATGTTATTTATCCCTCCAACAAATAAAAACCAAAAACTTTGTACAATAAATGAATTCCTACACGCTTCTAGCTGTGCGGTATTTCACAGTCCGTAGGATTGTTGTGCGGGCGAAAAGTGTTATCGGAAGACGATCATTTGTGAATCCAATATCCAGACCATTCCGTGCGGTTATAACAAAATTTTACGGAACCACTTCCATGTGCAAACAGTGCTTCGTTTGGGATGACTTTCATCCGGCGGTCAATTTACTCCACCATAAAATAAAGTAGTGAGATTAGATAAAAAGTTAAAAAAGATTTATAACTAGTGAATCCGGGGGAACAATCAACTGATGTATCGAACCTTCGACAACCTACTATAACTGTTCGACACTCTGAGTAAATATTTCTTTAGGACAATATCATACCTAGGTAGTGAGCGAAAAAACGAACAATATATTACCCCAATTGAATATATGCTGCTCAACTGAGCTGCGCTTCAAGATAAAATTTCAAAGGTTAAGTGGGAGAATAACCTTATTGCTAATCTGACCGGCGGCGAGGGGGGGGGGGACCTGTGACCGTCCCGTGTTACATTTCGTATACCAAACTCGCCATATTGTTCCAAGACTGATTGACATACCGTTCAGAAGCAATCAATCCCAACACACAGAGAGAGACGACGAGGCAAGCTTGCAGATAAGTTTCAACCGATTCAGTTGTGAGTAGGATGAAATTTTCAACCGGCCTGGACCGATAAGGGAGGATAAAGTGAGGATGATATGCTTCAGTCACGGTGTGACAGAATTTTGAAAAAAAAATTACAAATTGTGCAGTCCAATCCATCATCATTGGACATTTACATTCGATATTGAACCTCTGAACTTGACGAATTCAAGTGTAACCTACAAGATAGTTAGTAGGGTTGTGCGAGACAAGTTGGGCGTCTGTGGTTTGATTTGTTAGCATCCTCTGAAAAGTCTGCATGAGTAGATGGGGCAATGGGTGATAGCCTTAGTAGAGTCACATCCCAGTACTGTTGTCAGACTTTTGTGGGAGAATGTCAGTCGTGTTTAAGCCCACCACGACCTCGAAAACTGCCATTTCTCATATGTGGCGACTTACTTATTGAACCCGGAGCTTGCAATGCTCCAAGCCACCAGCTACCCATTCATTCGGTGGGCGTTTCCTACCCATCACTGAAGGATTTACCAGGTAGCAAACATCTTTGCCTCTGGTCTTTGTCTTCATCATTGAGTATCGGTAGTCTATTGAATTTAGCGCTAAGTTAAAACAAGCGATCACGCTGTAGGATCCGAGGATTTCCGGTTTGTACTATACAGATAATATACAGCATAAAAAACCGTCGAAAACAACCATTCGGTGTCAGAGTGGAAGAACATGAAAAATGTAACTACTCACGATTTCAATTCCACAACACCAGTCTGTGAAGTAGCATTGACTCGCAGCAACTCGTTGCCTAGTACTGATGGACCGGATGTGTTCAGTGTGTCGTGTAACGGTCTTGATCCCGCAGGAATCATAGTAGCTACTGGAGTGGAAAAGATCCTTTCTGAACTGGTCTCACTCAAGGGACTTTCATGCACACTAACCGGTGCAGTCAAGTGATCACTTTCATCGGGCGGCGTAGCCGATTCCATCCGGCTCCGGGCAAGTCCGGACTCGGATGGATCGTTCGATTTACGCTTAATGGTGTCCGTTTCCAGTTCAAAGTCGTTTCCATTCACGTGTTCCTCAAGGCTATCGTTGCGAGTCATTTTCTGACCCATAGTGCCTATTTCCTCTTTCGAATCGATCACATGCTCATGATTATTATTAATGTCGACCGTATTGATATCATCATTGTCATCTTCTTCCTCCTCATCATTTAATAAGTGCACACTGTCGATCATACTATGATGAAGTGGTACACTCTTCGGTCCAATATCGACTACGGTTGACAAGTCGGATGGACTTCCAGGAGGTGGCACCACGCTTGGACTGGGTCGAGTGAATATTCTGAAGTTGAATCCAGATTCCGTGTGGGTTGAGCAGGATGTAACAGCGGAGTGGATGAGTCGAGGAATAGATCGGACAGGGTGGAAACGAAAAATTGAAAGAGATCTGACTACGCGGTTTCAATTTAATGATAATTTACGAACAAGAATAAACTACGGAAGCTGGATAGCGCGCTCAGAATTTTGATTATAGAAAAAATTTGCTGGTGAAATCATTTCACTTATGGGTAACCTGAACCAGTATTTATGTAGGAAAAATTCTTGTGCTGCGATTTCCTTGTATCTCAACCTGGAACAAAACCAGTGTGGCAATAGTAACAATGAGAATATTATTATTACTAGTAATAGTAATGATATATTTTGTGTGTACAGCACGATCTTTTCTGAGTCAGGGGATGCGAACAGAGTCACTTTTCACTTTTCTAGACTGTCACCTCAGGGTGAACGACTCACACAAATTCACCACCACCGTTCACACAGAAAACCGACACATTCGGATAAACTTTTACATTTTGAATCAGCTCATCCGCAATGTGTAAAACGGACCCTTATCTCCTCTTTGGCTGACCGAATCAAAAAGCTCTGTAATGAAGATAATAACCGCCAAATGGAAATGAAACGTCTCAAAAAAAGTGCTAAAAGACAATTATTATCCGCCACTCCTGGTAAGATCCCAGTTGGAGGCCAATAAACTAATGACAGAAAAAACCGTGTAGCCTCTATTGGCATTCCATATAGATCAGGCACTTCAGAAGCAATCAGAAAGATTCTCGGCGATTTCAACATACAAACATTCTTTAGGGTTGACAACACTCTGAAACGTCATCTCGTGAAAGCCAAAGATCCGGTCGAATTGCAAGATCAAAACAACTGCATTTATAAAATAAGTTGTAAAGAATGCCCCGCAGAATACATTGGGCAAACCAGCAGACAACTCAAGACAAGAATAACCGAACACAAGAGCAAAGAAAAACATCGACCGACGGACCAAGCAACTCTGGCAAAACTAGAACGAGACTCAGCGATCGCTCTTCACGCCATAGCCGAAGGTCACACTATAGACTACGACAACCCAAAAATACTCCAAATCGGATTTCGAACATGCAATGAACGTTCGTACGCCGAAGCTTTGGCCATTAACAACCACTCTGCATGTGTCAACAGAAATGACGGAATTGATATCCCGAGCATTTGGACT